CCACCCACCGCCAAACTATTTTACCAACGAATAGTGGGATTGACCGTCACATTATAACGCCCCACCGGCTGAAAGGGCGAGCATGTTTGGTGTGACGGGGAGTTCGAACCCGCGATCCTCAGATTGCGAGTCGAGCGCCCTAACCACCTGGCCATGCCAGACTTGGTCTGAGAGATCTCTACCAGTAGACACGGAGAATAACAAACAGAGTGTTTGTTCTCTGATACACTGAGAGTTTGGTTAAGGAAGACAATTTCGGGTGTAAACTGAAATGTTTTTTTTTTATTATACATATTTTTGTTTTTAAAGTATCGAAACTCATCTTCATTTTCAGATACCGGATCCGCGCTCCGGTCTGCTCAGACAGTACTACACCTATACATAAGTTCAATAAGTTTCACACGAATCTGTACTTGTGTGTAGAAATATTATACAGAAATCCAACAAATAGCAACAAATAGATAAATAAATCACAAGCTGACTTGTATTAAAAACCCGCTCATATTTCTGAGCGCTAGAAAGCTTCCCAATCAAGACACACGGTAATGTGTCGTGCGGCCAAAGCAACCTGCTGCATGACACACTGAGTGTTATTAACAAGAGTTATAGTTTAGAAATTTCCCACTTTCTGTATCTCGGACTGTGGTAATCCAAACTATCACATATTTTCAGTAGATGTGCTCTACTGACCTTTACTTCACGTACAAAATTTCAAGGCAATCCATTGAGAAACATCTCCAATTTCGATTGAGTTTCTTTCATTTTCTTCGTACCAAAAGTACGGAAACTTTATTTGATATAAAAACATACTTAACTTTTATGGATTTTTTTTCAAACTTGATACACTGATAGATCTGTTCACCCTACAATTAGGAGTCTCATTTGGTGTCAATATAATCCACATGTGCAAAGTTGTTCAACAAAAACCGCTCAAATTTGACGAAAAGTTTTGCGCACTCTTACTAAGAGTCACATGAGCTGTCGGTCTAACATTTTTACTACAGCTTCACCTAAGAGTAAAAGTGGACCATTTTTAATTTTGTTTTTTTTATCATTCCGATTAAGACAGCTGCTTTAGAGCAGCAAAACTATAAGATGAAAGTACGTGCAGATACATAAGTATTGGTTAGGCCAAGCACACTAGATCAGCAGTTTCTAGCTCAAGTTTTCAAAATAAATCATACGGTGGACGGTTATTATTGATTGCCAACATTTCCGCCCAAATTTACCAAATTCTATGAAATTATCCTAATTAAAGAGCTTTTAGCGTTACGTGATATTAGCTTAAGCAATCAGAATAAATAATGATGCTTGATAGGGCTGTACCGATTGCATAGGGGTGATGACAAGAAAGTGTTAATCTAAATGCCATGGTGTTACTATACAGGAAATTATTAACATTGTTTTAGAGAGGAAAAACTACCCCCCATATATTTAAAAAAAAATCTCGTTGGTTCTGTAAAGTAAAGGTGTGTTCCGAATAATAGGATTGTGATCATAAAGCTAATGCTGGTTACTATCGAGTGTCACTTTCTTACTTGCTGTGGTCTGTTCGTGTGTATTGACAAAAGTAATGATATCTAATCAAAAACACCTTAGGTGTTAAAAAAAAAAAGGTGCGGCCAAAAAAGGACCGAGTGTGCGACTTAAAGGAATGAAATCAAAATTGGCGGTCAAACTGGTAGCT